GGGTGACTGTGCTTCCTTCATGGCTACTAGCAAGGAGCCAGCGCCTGGTGTGACGCTGGCACAGGTCGGAGTGCCCCAGGTGGTGGCCGGCTGAAGAACTGTTGTTGTCCGCAGTGGCTGAGGACGACCAGTGGCCTGTTTTAGCAGGGACCGCTGGTGTTGGCTCTGAAGGTCGGGCAGAGGGGTAGTCCTGGACGGCTGGCAGGCCTTTGCTTCCTGTTGAGCAGGCTTGTGCTGGCAGTGGATTGGGGTTTCTTCTTGTTACCTTCGCTCTTGTCAGCGTGGGTCCCTGGTCATCCATCTCCTTGGTGGCACAGGGATAGTGTCTCTCAAGCGTTATCAGGGCTGCTGTGTCTCCGTTCTTGGTGGCTTAGCAGAGGGCCTTTGCGGGAGCTGGGCTGCAGGGGTGGGGTGGGGGAGCACTCCTGCATCTGTGCCCGCATTTCCTGCCAGCCACCCCCTCTGAGGAGAGGACAGCCATGTGTCCACTCCACTTATCTGCTTCATCTCCATCCCTTCAGCACCTCCATCTGCCTACCCCAACGGCAGCACCCGCCCCACATCGTGGCTATTGTGCTGGTTTGTGTCCACCCTTCCATCTGCCACCTCTGTGTGGCCTTGTCCCCCCCCCCCCCGGGGGGGGGCGCTCAGACCAGACTGAGGCATCAGTTGGCTTCCCTGGAGTGCAGTCTGTGTTGGAACAGGCTGTGGGGCTAGAAAGATGGGCACCCAAAGAGAAGTACACCCAAATCAAACACCCCCACCCCACTCACCCCACCCCACCCCCACCCCCACCCGCAGAGCTGGCTGGCCCTTTCGTGTGTGTGTGTGTGTGTGTGTGTGTGTGTGTGTGTGTGTGTGTGTTTCTGTGTGCTATGTGTACGATGTGTATGTTGTGTGTCATGGAAGAGAACTGTGCTTTATACACAGGGTGTCCCTGCCATCTGCCCATTATTCCCAGCCGTGACCTGCTTTGGCCTGAGGAAAGCAGGGTACTTTGGTTAGAAGCCAGAGGCTCCTCTCCTTTTCCTGGCCATCAGCACTCTGGTGTGTTCAGGGTCAGGTGGTGGCAGCTGGAGGTGTTGATCGGGCTGCAGTCTGGGCGGTCCTGTTGGCGGTTGGGTGCCATGCCAACGTGAGGACGCCAGACCTGAATGGGTGTTGCTGTGGAGTGTGCGGAGGTATCAAGCCCGAGGGGCCCCCCGGGGTGGTGGGTGTGGTGCCCTGCTCCCCTTCACGGTTCACTGACTGCCCCCGGACTGCTCCGGGTTTTGCTTTTCCAGGGAGGGGGAGGTGAGAAATAAACAATGGGGCTAATTAGAGTCAATGCAGGTTCCAGAAGAAAGCCCCTCCCCACCCGCTGCCACCTGCCCACCCAGACTGCAGCCTAAACATAGCATATGCCGCAGGCTGAAGCTGGTGTACTTTTCACAGTCGCGGGGGACCGAGGGGAGGCGCCTCTTGGGCTGTGCTGGGAAGTAGCTGTCCCTCTTAGCTGCACCTATGTGGTTCATGGGGGAACCAGACAGTGGACCCGGTCTGAGCCAGTGGTCTGGGCTCTAGTGTATTTTTAATTATTATTCTATGCCCAGTCAGGTGAGCACCTTGTAACCTGTGCACTTCTGGCCTCACAGGAGCCCTCTAAGGCTCAGCTTACTCTACTAAGGAGCACACTTGGGCCCAGAGCTCTGAATAACTTGTCTGAGGTCACTGGTGGGAGTGCCCCTTCTGCTGGACTGAAGGCATGTGACTATTCTGCTGGATGTTCCTATCCCTTCCCTGACAAGCTGCCGCCCCTTAGGTGAAGTTCTACATGGTCTGGAGGACCCACAGGTGGCTGCTGCTGCTGGCCTCAGGGGTGTGGTGGATTGCAGAGAGGATTTGGTATCCTATGACCCTGCCAGGACCTCAGACATGTGACCTGGTCCCTCTGGCACAGTGGACTTCGCAGGACTGTCAAAGCATAATGCAAGGTCAAAGCCACCAGTGGCTAGCACAGTGGCCAAGCCTTGCAGGGTGCTCTGTGGATGCCATAAAAGGGACCAGTGCTAGCTGCTAACAAGGCTGTGCTCATCCCTGAGGGGCCCTGCCCTTTGGGGGAGGCAGAAGGGGATCTGGCCAGAACCTCTAATGTGCGATCAATGTGGGGACCCCAGTCCCTTGGTAGGAAGGCAGGGGAACACTTTCACGAGGGAGGTGAGCGAGGATGCAGGAAGGATGGGGGCCTGGGTGGCCTCTGAAGCTGTGCTAGAGCTTCACATGGATGGAGGCAAAGGGAATGGTAAGTTGGTAAGGGCCAGGAGCCCAAGGGCAGGGTCATGAGGGGCTCAGACCTCCCGCCTTGCAGTGTGTTTCCAGCTCGGCTGGAATGCTGCTGGCAATAGGAGCAGGCTTGGCCTGGGGGGACATGTGCATCCTGGGCCTTGCTCCCAGTTACCCTATGGCAGACACAGTACAGTTCTGTCCTGCCAGGTGCTGTCGCAGGCCTGGGGCAGGGTGGGCAGTCTATAGATTTTTATCCTGCCGTGGTCCAGTTTGGAGCTGCAGTTGAGGCCTCAGGAGTGAACCTGGTCTTCAAGAAAGCACATGGCGACAGCCTCCACTGAGCAGCTGTATGCCAAGGCTGAGGGAGACGAGGAAGGGTCGAGTGCCAAACCTACGGGGTGGCATGGGAGCCACAGAGGCCTTGGAGCTCCTGGCCTGCAGCGGGGTGGCACTGCTCCCACATGGTGGGTGGGAGTCAGCCTGCAGGATGCTGTTGCTGTGCTTGCACATTGGGTTTTATTTTTCTGCTCACCAGGCATTTGTTGTAATAACTTAGTTAGAAGCAACACTCATGTACTTGCTCTGGCTAATCTGTTGTGTTTATGGTGTGGTTTCTTCCAGACAAGTCAAACCCCGGTTGGTGGAGACAGCTCAGCTCCTAGTCAGTTTCCTGTGGGTGGGAAGCAGGGCTGCTGGCCCAGGGAGGAAGCACTGTCTCCCGGGCTCAGAACCACCTACAGGAGAACATAACAGGACTTCGTGGGCTGCCTGGTGCCAAAGGTAACCATTATTCAAGGGGGTTATGTGATAAAACTTTTCCTGGAGAGACACAACACATAATGTCTACTCACCCCAGATAGAGAGCCCACGACAGATCAAAGTAGGGATACCACCGAAGTCCAGCTTGAAGAACCCATGAGTTTTATTGAGGTGACTACAGGAGCAGAAATGACTCAAAGACAGCCCCGTCACCAAAGCCCACCCCAGCATGGGTGACAGCTCACAAAGCTGGGAACCTGGAGCACCCTGCACAGCCTGCCGGCAGCTCAACAGGTTGGAGAGTGTCCTTTCTAAGTGACTCTGATCTAAAACTCTCCCAGGCAGCTCAGCTGGTCTCTGCTTCTCCCAGGCAGATGTTCTGGTCTTAGAATTTTCTTTGCAGCCTGGCTTCTCTCCGGGTGACTCTTCAGCAGTCTTTTACTGTTTACTCTGGCAGGGAGGGGCCTAGTGAATCTGGTCAGTTTCAGGGACTTCCTGAAGTTATTTTGAGTTGTTTACCTCCCTGCTTAAAGAGCTTCCCTTCAGTTTGTAAGGTTTCAATCTTGGCAGAAACTGGTACATAACAAAGGTCAAGTCCCTAGAGATAGGTCAAGTCCCTAGAGATTGGACAGCCCTTGTGCTTGGGTGTTGACTCCCATCCCCCATCTTACAGGACCTTCTGGGGAGGCTCTTCTGAGCAGAGACGTCTATAGCAGAGCTGGCTCATCCCCCAGGGTAGTGTGGTCATTCCCTGTTAGGATCCCGCTTCCTCATGTCCTGGCTTGGGCTAGCATGCCCCAGTCTGGTATAATCCTAGCTGGCTCTCTCTTCAGAGGTATGTGTCACCTCTTGTAGCCTGTTTGAAAAATCTAGAAGGTCTACATGTCTTCCAGACATCTAAAAATACTTGATGCTGTCCTGCAGTCCGTTCATAGAGGCCATTGATCTCTTGCAAATGTCATCAAGGAACATAGGAATGGGGTCTGCTCCAGGTCTACCTATGGGAGCAGAGGAGTCCAGGCAGGGCTGACTCTAGGCCAGGGCAGTTAAGGTAGTTGCTACAGCCAAGAGGAACACACACATGACTGTAACAGTAGACCCGGGACCCCAGGTGGCAGGGCTCACCCTCCACATCCTCCTGCCTTGTCCCCACAGCAATTTCGCACCCCGTCATGGGTACACTGCCTACTTCACTAAAGGTTTCATCCCTGCAGACCTGCCCTAGGGACAGCCAGTTAGAAGGCCTCTTCTCCCTCAGCCTTGAGAAAGTGGTAGATGGAGAAGCTGGCACCAGGTCTGTCCAGGGCTCTGGGACTCAACTTTGGGTCTGTGCCAAAATGTCCTGGCTATGAGGGAGTGCCTAGGAGCTGGTGTGGTACAGGTAGCCTCCCTTCACAATCAGGCAGTCTGTCCTTGGAGTGCTGTCTTCAGGAATTTGTATCCCCTTCCCTACATCAGGCCCTTTAGTAACAGTCTCAGGGATGACATATAGCTCAGAGGTGGAGGCTCACCCAACATACACAAGCCCTGTGAACCATCTCCGGCATCGTTAAGGAAAAGAAGAGTCAAGTCTTGGATATTTTTCATGCTGCTGTAGTCTTCTGTTCTCTGGGGACTCTTGGGAAGAAAAGCCCCAAGTCTCCAGGGTTCCTAATCTTGTCCACACCTTCCCTTCCCAGCCAACAGGAAAGAGATGAGACAGCAGAGGGCCTCTGAGGCGCTCACAGTCCTCCGGGTGGGGCATGGTCCCTGGTATCCAAGGTTATCCTGCTTAGAGCTGGGATCTGAGTCCTTTGTCTTTTGAACTGTGCTGAGCACAGGACTTACCAACCACAGAACCCCTATCCTTCCCGCCATTTTGACTTCCAGAAGTCTCTGTTGAATGTGTGCTCCCTAGAATGTCAGGGACAGCTGGATGCTGCCTAGAGCAACATGTAGGGGCTGCCACCTCAGGCTGCCACTCAGTGACACGGGGTTATTATGCTGTCATGGGCCACCTGGAATTCTCTCCCACCCCATGAGAAGCAGCCCATCAGGAAGTCCCACAGCCATTGTCTACCCAGGGCTAATACTCGTGGTCCCGACCCATCTTCAATGACTGTCCTGAGGGGCAGAGGACCCATAGAGTACTCAGAGCAAGGCAGTAGCTAGTTCATGATGGGTGCTGGGTGGTAGACCTACAGGCTGCCATGTGACTGTAGTGTTAGACCCGGGCCCCCAGGTGGTGTGGCTCGCCATCCATACCCTCCTGCCTCGGCTGCAGTGCCAACCCCGGCCATGGGTGTGCTGCCCACCTCCCGAAGGGTAACCCTGCAGACCTGCCCCAGGGACAACCAGCAAGAAGGTCTCTACTCCCTCAAGTCCTCGGGGAGAATGGCCAATCAGAAGGCCAGCGCCGACCCCAGGTAGAGCGTGTGTGGGCGTGGACAAGACTGTCAGCACTGCTACTAGTCATGTGGTCACCTTCCCCCAGGGGTGTCTTCTTTGTGGGAGGAGGGAAGATGTAAAGGTCCAGTGTGTGGGTCTCTGGCCCAAACCTGCTTGTGCCTTTGGGTTTGGCCTGGATACTCCCAACTTCAGTTTTCTCATCCATAAATTGAACTTATCATGGGACCAACTTTAAAAGGCTGTGGTTAGTGTCTGAGGGAGAATGTCAGGGTGTGTCCACATGGTAGGGGCATTTTCTGGTCCCTCCTGTCTTTCTCAAACTGTGAGGTAGAAATAGAAAGGGGTGCTGGGGTTACAGGACTCCATCTGAGGTATTCCACTCTGACTGGCTGTTCTGTCGTCCTCTCCAAGGGAAGAAGTGTTCCATCCACATGAAGCCAAGGACAGCCTTCTGGCCACATTGAGGTGGCCTATGCTTTCTCAGCAGCTGGGTACTCTCTGGACAGTTCCCCATGTGACCTGGCCTGACTATTTCAAGGAGCCAGGCCCCTCCATGAAGGGCTGCAGCCTGCCCATGTGGTCTCCATGCTGGGACACCAGGGATGTGAACAGCTCAGTGTCATCCGGCCGACTGTCTGGTTCCTCAGGGGGGCATGAATCATGCGCACTTTTCCATGGGCCCTGGAAAGAAAGGCCACCCCTGGTGTTGGGGCCCCAGCGTCAGCCCAGGAAGAGTAACCCTCGTCTGGAGCAGTTGAGGGACAAGATCCGAGCCCAGGCACAGAGGCAGGCCAGCTGTGCCTCCCTGGGCACCTCAGTCCCATCTAGCGCCTCATGCATCTCCAAGACCTCCTCAACTATGCTACAGCGGAAGAACTCCAGGGGTACAGACGCTCCTCCGGTGCCTACTTGCCCAGGTCAGTGGCTGCTTAGCCCAGCTGGTGCGGACCCCAGGCTGTGGGGGAGAATGGAGGGCCGGTAGGAAGGTAATATTTCAGGCCAGGCTATGGTGGTGACTCCGGCACACGGGATAGACAACCGGGAGTTACATGTCATGTGTTCCTAAGGCCCCCAAAGAGATTTGAGGTCTGGGATGCCAGTGCAGCTTGGGGCGGGGCTTCTGAGCTCAAGTTAGCATGAGGAAAATTCTTCGTGGTGCCAGTAAGATGAGAGGAATGGAGCCTTGGAAGACAGAGACCCAGAGGGCCTGTGGGAGGTGTAGTGTCCGGGAATGGGGTCTTTGTTGTGTCCCTGAAGCTTTAGAGGGCTGTTTAAACAGGCCTGGGCAGCATCAGGTGCAAGCGGCAAAGCCAGTGTGAGGTTTCCAAGGCCCGCCTGCTACCTACAAGCAAGACAGGGTGTGTTTTCTGAAGCAGGAAAGGCAAGTGGCAGTTAAACACATACCTGAAGAGCTTCCTGTCGGAGATCCTGGGGGCTAGGCAGCTGCTTAGGTGTTTCTCTAAGGAGGGGAAGGGTCTGTTTTCTAAGGCAGTAGCTTGTTTTTAAAAACCATGGTAAAGCACAGAACATAAGCCAGCTTACTGTTTAAAAACTTCGTTGCATTTATTTATTTGTGTGTGTGTGTATGTGGGAGTGTTGCCACACTCCAGGTGTGGAGGTCAGAGGACAGCTTGCAGAGTCTCTCCTTCCACCATCCTTCCTGGGGATCGAACTTAAGACGTGAGCCTTGGCACCTTTACCTGCCGGGCCATCTCACCCATCCCATCTTTACCATTTAGAAAAACGTTCTGTTCATTTAGATGTTAGAAAAAAATCTGCTCCGTGTTATGCATCCTCGCTGTGCAGCTACCACCACCATCCTTCTCTAAAATGATCCATCCTTCATATTCGACCCCAGTGGCCCCATCCTCTCCCCAGACCCTGGCACCTGCCTTCTGCTTCCTGTCCCTGTGGGTTTGATGACTCTGGACACCTTGTAGAAATGGGATCCCACGGAACTTGTCCTTCTGTGACTTTCTTTCAAGGAGTACATTTTTTGGAAAGTACAGTTAAACACAGAGGAAGAAACAAAACTCGTCACCAGTTCCCCATGTGCCTTTGCCCCAAGCCTGCCCCGGCCGGCTCTCTGAGGTGTGTCCCTGTGGTAGATAGCACTGTGACAAGATATCTGAGAAAAAGAACCTACAAGAGGAGAGTTTTTCTTGGCCTGCGTTTCAGAGGGCTCTGTCCACGGCGTCCATTGTTTCTGGGCCTGCTGAGAGGCAGAGCATCGTGGTGCAAGGGCGTGGGGGGGCACAACCTGGACACAGGTGCAAGGGCGTGGGGGGGGCACAACCTGCACACAGGCGCAAGGGCGTGGTGGAGTGCAACCTGCACACAGGTGCAAGGGCGTGGTGGAGTGCAATCTGCACACAGGTGCAAGGGCGTGGGGGGGGGCACAACCTGCACACAGGTGCAAGGGCGTGGTGGAGTGCAATCTGCACACAGGTGCAAGGGCG